GGAACCGTTACCCGCCGAGACAGGTTCTGGTTCCGGGTACCTGGAACCGGCGGGTATCCTGAACCGGAACCGACGGGTACCCGGTATTTTCAATTAAAAAAATAATTAATTTTTTTAAATACTAAATTTAAATTAGGTCAAGAACTTAGAACTCTAAATTCAGAATTTGAGATAAAATGATTTGTATTTTTCTCAAATTATGTGTTTAATTGGATTCGTAGTATGTAATCGTTAAACTTTGAACTTTTACAATTATAGTATGTAATCGTTAAACTTTCAACATCTACTATTAGTCTATTATGGTTTGTAATCGTTAAACAATATTTGTAACCATTATTCCGTATAATTTGTATTCTTGTTTATTTATTTAGTGTTTTGGCAATGTTTTATTTTTTTATTTCTAAATAACAAAATTTTATTATTTTAGGAAGCGAGTACCTGGAACCGGAACGAAATTCAAGAACCGCTCTAACCGGTTCCATTCCAGTTCCAATATCTCAAGAACCGCCGGTTCCGGTTAAATAGGACGGGTACACGCCTATACTCACCCCTAATTATAGTGCAATTGAAAAGAATACATATTAATAGATACTCAACAATCATATTAAATAAAAGAAATAAAGAGATCGAGATCATCAAATTGGGTTTGGTACAAATAATGATAACTTAATATCAACCCAATATCTATGATTTAATTTTTTTTACAACTTAATCAAATATCAAGTTAATTTATATGAGTTATTTCATGTTGGATTGGTCAAGTTGGTCGTGTTCTAAAAATTACTCTGAACGTTGGATTTTTTTTTTTTTTTTTTTTTAGAAAAGATAATATATGCATATATTAAAATATAAAACAATTTTTTTTAAGAATCTAATAAAAAATGCATAAAGTATAATTAAGCTAGTCCCATGATTCTTTTGCCGACCTTTCACTAACAGTGATCCTATGAAATAGACAAAGTCACCTAAATGACACATGTCTAAATACAATTTTGGCACGTGAACAATGAGCTTATTCCAACTATCCTTTTAAACGGATAATAATTCTTGTCTTTTCCTAAACAAAATCTCCCAATTATTAATTTATTGAAAGTACTTATTTTACAATAAATTATTAAATTATTGAGAAATATTATTATTATTATAATAAATAAAATAAAATATTCTTTGCATTCATGTTTTCAGGATTATTTAGTTCATTGACATTTAAATATGATTTTTATTAATAATATAACCTTTTTGATAAATTTTATGGTATTCTGATATATGGAAGATATATGAAACTGATATGTTAAAATATGTTAGAAGGTCATGGATTTAATTTTTTTTTTTTTGAAAAAGTCATTCAACCGATAGATTTATGGTTTTTATTCGTCTTTTTTAAATGCAATAACGATAAGTTGTGATAAAAGGTAGAGTTTAAGAAGAAGCTGTTTTTATTCGGGAAAAAAAAGTTGAAATAAAAAATATTTAAACTGATCGATTAACAAGCAAATATTTTATTAAATTATATATTAGATCAGGATTATATGTTTCAGATAAAAATAATAATTTTATAGTGGTATTTCTTAGTCATCATATTCGATTTCTTATTATGATTAATAATAAAATTATAAGAATACAAACATATGATTAAGAAACGTAAGAATGAATCTCTACCCTTTGATCAATCATAATTGAATGTCAACAATAATGAGGTACAATGAAATGCACTAGATCAATTTCATTCTAGAGCGTAATTCATAGATAGCATGTGATTAAAGTGATCAAAGGTTAATATATCTTATTACATTTCTAACGTTAATGGCTTGTTTGTTTACCTCTTAATAGTTCCATTAATAGGCAGCCTCTTAATCGTTAGAAGGTGAATCTTGTTTGACAAAAGAAAAAAAAAATCAGTCTGTTAATGGTTCTAAAATCCTCTGAATAATTTTGCATCATGGGCCTCCCTTAACCATTTATCGCCCTAATTTCATTGTAAACAATAACCAAACAATTATATTTCATTTTACACTATATCATGAGAGCCTCTTAATCATTCTGACCACTTAATCATTCTGCACTACACCATTCATCAACTACCAAACAACTTTTAACTCTTTTTCTCACAAAATTATTGACCTATACATATGTGGGCTTTCATTTGAAAACTCATAAACTTGTGATAATCTTAAAAATGGTGCATCATATACTATTTCCTATGATTTTTTTTCATCTACGGCTTGGATTTAGTGTACCGATTAATATATATTTGTTTTAAAATATGCACAATTTTTATGTGTTTGTGAAATAAAAAATATAACTAAAATTTTCATTTTGTGAACGAATATATATGAAACAAACACATTGTGAAACAAATATATGTTAATCAACATATTAAATTCTGGTTTTAAATATAAAAAATCATCTTGGATAAAAGTTATCATAATTGATATAATATATGGGGTTCTCAAATGATTAAACCCTCTATATATTTATCTCTATATATAAGATATATGTATATATACATTGATCTGGATTCAGAATAGAATCAAATACAATAAGTAAAAGACATATAGGTAAAGGTTGAGTTTTTGTGAGATAAGAGTTACGCTGAGAAATGTAAGAAATAATCTACACCCTTGGATACACAGTAGAATGAGATACAGTAGATCAATCCCTATATCAAATACAATTTATAGGTGGATTTGAAATTAAAGATGATAAAGATTCCAATCATATTAGCAAATGAGGTAATTGAGATTTGAGGACCCATCGGCCTACTATTCACATAACGGTGAAGTTGATCTAGGAATCCTAGTGGTCTACTTGTACTATATTTCCTTTATTAACAAACACGTGCTTTTTATCTTCAAATCCACCACATGATCAATTTACAAATTAATAAAATGTGAAAAACATGTTACAATATTTCATTTCACTAAATATAAATTTAATATACATAACAGATATAGGTTCCGTTTTAAGATATGCAAAAATGCGCACCTAATCGTATTCGTAAGTTTCTTTTGCATTGATTCATTATGTAAATAATAACAGTGTACTTTAATTTTTTATGCTTAATAGTTATATACTTTAATTTATCTGTTTTATGAAATGTAGTTTTTCTAAAAATAAGCGTATCTAAAATTTTGTCATTTTAAAAAACTAATGTTATTCCTAAAATACATGGAAAAAAATGTAAATTCTAACATAAAAATTGTTCTAAAATTACACATACATATAGGGTATATTTCAAATGCAACTATACATATTTATACAACCAATACAACTTAATTAATTAATATATTTATGAAAATTATGAGATTTTATTTATTATGATTTAAATATTTATGGAAGATAGCTAGAGTTCATTAATTATGATCAATACTTTATATTAGGAAACAATCAAAACTTTTATGAAATCACATATTCATCAAATTAAATGGACGGTTGAGATTGAGTTGTATTGGTTGTACAAATGTAAAGGGTTGCATAATAACTATATAAGGTATATTTCAAATACAACCATGTTCATTTGTACAACCAATGCAACCCAATCAATTGAGATATTTATGAAAATGATAAGAGTTCATTTATTATGATTTGAATATTTATAGAAGATGACTAGAGTTCATTAATTATAATCAATACTTTATATTATGAAACAATCAAAACTTTTATAAAATCACATATTCGTCATATTAAATGGACGGTT